TACTCAATGGTATTTAAGTTATACCACATTTTAATGTTATACCTTTATTTGTCCTTTGGCAGATGTCTGCTCATTACTCCCAATATTCTGCGCTTGGAGAGTGAGGAGACCCTAGTGGTGGATGGGCAGAGTCGGGCATTCGATGTTGATGTGGAGATCCAGGACTTTCCCAAGAGGCAGTTCAGTTTGGCCAAGCAAAAAGTTTCCCTTAACAGCGCCAACAAATATCTTGGCACGGCAGTGGTCAAGGTAAGTGTTTAGTGCGTAGGACAAATTCACCAAATTTTGAGTGTGAATTTTTGTGTTTTTTTCTAACATTTTCTTGTGCGGCCTCCACAGATTCCTTCTAAGGACATCCTGAATGACCGGAGTACAAAACAATTTGTGTACGTTTCAGTAAAGTCTCCCGTGTGTAATCTAGAGAAAGTCGTCCTGGTGGGTTACCAGAGTGGATATGTCTTTATACAGACGGACAAGACCATCTACACTCCGGGATCTAATGGTAACCCACACGCAGTCAGACTTTTGAATTCTATGAAACACTAATAATTATTATCTTTATACATAAATATATGGAGTTTAACATATTTTTGTGGCATACAAAAGTGTAACGAGGACAGTGTTAGAGAATCACCCCACTGAAAGCTAATCTTTCAGTTTTGAGTCAGCACTGATGGTCTGGATCATCCCTACTGGGGCTTTGAGTCATAGGACGATTGGACATGCATGCACAATCAGAGGACTCACCTGGCTGTTTGCCCTCCTCCAGCCTTGACAGATCAGAGCTCGTCCTCACTTACCCTCATTGATCCATCCCCCATAATCTTCTCCTGGTCTTTTCCAGAGTTCCCATTGGTCTTCTTCAGCCATAGAGTGGCTGATAGATGCCGGAAGTGTGCAGTGCATGTGGCCCTTTTACAGACACCTAAAGCTTAGTACAAGGGTCAGTTTAATACTGATTATTTTTTTTATCCGTCTTTCCGTAGTTCTCTACCGCATCTTTTCAATGGATTATAAAATGTCCCCGGTGAACAAAGCCGTCATTGTGGAATTCCTGGTAAGACTTAGCTCACCTTTGCGATCAAAAGGTCAGTTCAGGGTAAAAAAAACAAAAATCACCTAAAAAGTTTTTTGGGCCAAATCGTCAAGCACTGTGGTTGTCACATGGAGGAAGGGAAGGAAGGGAGTCACATGCTCTCTATACCCAGGGCATTGCTCTTTGCTTTCAATGGCTGAATGGAGTGCAGAGGTAGCGTAGGAAAGATACTGTATATGCACCTGCAAAGCGGTGCTTTGCCTCCATGGGAAGAAATACAAAGCCTGACATCACTTGTCTCCATCTAATAAGGCTACCAGGTTGGTCCTCCTGCTTCAGTATTTTTTGGTCCTCCTGAGTCAGTACATGCATACCATTCAGAAGTTCTGACTTCAGTTACTGCACACTTTTTCCATGTCACTGATTTAGAAAATATTGATGCCATTGGATCAGAATAAGAGCCACCTAAATAGCATTTTCAGAAGGTCAGCACAAAGGTCTTGAGCAGGGGAGTGGATGGCCTTGCTATGGCTGTGTGTTTTGGGGACACATACTTATTGCTCTTAAGTGGCCAGTACAGCTCTCAGGTGGTCAGTGCAGGCTCTCAGATTGTTAGTGCAGGCTCTCAGGGGGCCAGAGGAGCTTTCAGGTGGCCAGTGGCGCTCTCAGGTGGGCGGTGTTGGCTCTCAGATGCTCACTGCAGGCTCTCAGGTGGTCACTGCGGCCTCTCAGATGGTCTGTGGAATTTTTCAGGTAGCCAATGCAGGCTCTCACCAGGGGTCCAGAAAGTCTTGCTGGAAGCTGCGGGCGCAGCAGGCGCGGCTCTATACTCAGGTGGCCACTCACTTCTCACTAGGGCCCCGAGAGGCCCCAGCGAGTGGCCTTCTAATATGCCTGATTAGAGGGCCACCTCTGCTTGATTGTAGCCAGTCCGGATTGCCAAAAAGTAAATATTTGTATGTAACTTCAGCTGCCTGAATCTTCTAATCATCATGAGATGCGGTTTTCACTGAAGCTAATCTTTAATGATGCATTTTTTTAATAACATGCTCAGTTTAATTTGACCAGATTTATGTTAGGCTCCAAATCAGCCGTTTCTTTATATATTGACCACTTTTCTGTTTTGTTTTTTTTAGACTCCCGAAAACATTATTGTTAAGAGGGATACCATCAAACACGATTCATCCTCTGGTATCCTCTCTCTGTCCTTTAGGCTGCCTGAGCTTGTAAAGAG